GATGCAATTTTGTAAATAATATTTAAAAGACAAATGGGTCTCCAATTTTTCAAAAACTGCCTTGGTTTATCCCCTTTTTGTAGACATGTAATTATCCCCTGTCTTTGAGTAACAGATAATATCCCATGTGTATATGCATAATTCATAGACCTAACAACAAAGTTCCCTAATTGTTTCCAGAAAAACTTAAAAAATTCAACTGTATATCCATCAGATCCTGGACTTTTATTATTTTGCATTTGTTTAAAAGTGTCTGATGCTTCAAAGTATGAAATACTTCCCTCTAAAGATAATGATTCAACATCTGTTAACTTTGGAACATTATAGTTTAGCAAAAGGTTATTTAGATCTACATCTTCAATATTACAGTTACTAGAATAAAGTTGCTCATAAAATAATTTTATCTCATGTAAAATGTCTTCTTGCTTCCTTATAACCTCTCCATTTTCTTTTTCAACCATTGGAATGATCTTAGACGTAAAATTTCGGTTTTCAAGATTCAAAAAATATTTAGTTGGTTTCTCACCTTCAATCCATTTTGACTTTGACCTTAAAATCTTTCCTTTCATCTTGGACTGTCTGATCTTTTCTAGTTCTTTCTTTTTCCTGTCTAGTTCATTAAAATCAATGTTTTGGTAATTTTCTAGTGTTTGTATATTCTCAATAAGTATGGATTCTTTCTTATTCTGACACTTCTTTTTGTAGGAAGAATATGAAATAGTTTTGCCTCTTATTTCGAAAAGTAATGTCTCTAGAAATAATTGGTCATTTATCTGAAGTTCAATTTCTTTATTTGGAATAGTATCAATAGAGTTTGGATCATACACTAGAACGGCATATTGTTTTTTAATATCTAAAATAAGATTCTTTATAACTTCGACATAGTCTGCATCATGTAGTAACGAGTTATTAAATTTCCAGAGGCCTCTACCCCTTTTAAATTCAGTAAATGTTATTGTAATAGTCGGAGCAGAATGATCTGACCTATAACTAGATCCTATATCAGATTTCTGAACATTACCTAACATATTTTCGGAAACAAGAAAGAAGTCTAAACGGGCTTGTTTAATAGGATTACATCTTCTCCAGGTATATCTCTTACAGTGTTGTTCTCTATATATATCTACTAAATTCAATTCATCTATTATTTCTATAACTCTATCCCTCGCCTTAGGGTTATTTATTTGCTTATATGATTTATCATAGTCAAAATCTGGGTTTAATACTAAATTAAAATCACCACATACTATACAAAACTCATTGTCAAATTCTGCTACTACATCTACTACTTGCTGATAGAAACCAGGTGTGTCTAAGTTTGGACCATAAAGTGTTATTAAAGTTACTTTTTTATCATCTAACAATATATCTAAAGCAATGAAATTACCTTCATTATCTTTCCTTTCACGTAGAATTTTAATCTCAAAATTATTGTTTATTAAAATTGCAACACCTCTACAGTTTGACCTAACAGAGCTACAATAACATTTAAATCCCCATTCGGACCTTACAATATTTTCTATATCTTCAGTGAAATGAGTGTCTTGAAGACAACATACATTATTTTTCTGACTTCTAAAATATGAAAAAACGTCTTTTCGCTTAACTTTATCTCGGAGACCTTGACAGTTCGCCGATATTATCTTAATGGGTTCTATGATAGTATTAAATTATAATCAACAAAATAGCTTTTGACCATCTCCATGCACCGACTACAAAATTTTGCAGAAGAAAAGAATCTGGTGGTAAGTTTAAAGGTAAAGTAGAGAAGTAAGGAGTCCAGAAACAGATGAGAAAGAAACGAAGCCGAGGTGTAGGATCTGCTAGCGAGGAAGCTGAGTAGGGGAGAGATAGACAGAGAGAAGAGCACATACCATACACATAGGGACATATTTGAATATTAATATAGAAATACTGGCACACTATCACCTATACACAACTATCAAACTATTCAAGGACCTGCACTATAAGCAACGTACGTCAATCAGTTCACACACACGTGTGCGATGCCTGCCTTTCAGACATTAATTAGCGGAAGCGGGAGTCAACTTCAAGCATCCTGAACATCCAGAAAAAAAAACTAAGGAAAACGAAATCGGAATTCACAAAGCAACCCAAATACCGTTCTCAGAACATAGATAATTATTAAAAGCACTGCTAAAATTTAACTTACTTTTATTTACCTTTTAATCAGCTGTCAGTTTGTGAATTGTGAATTAGCAAGTGATAAAATGATCTCTATCAATATAATGCTTGAAATTTTCCTAACTTCCTGTTAAGTGTCTGAAAGACCAAGATGACAACACTAATGTAAACAAATAATGGTCGGCGATGGACGGGTTCATCAACAATAATTTCATTTTGTGTTACATACCGTTTCCAGGGGAAAAGAAAGTCAATCAATATCCGATCCATCAAAATGCACAAAAAAATTTTAGTATTTTTCCGTATAGTCATAAAGGTCCACTGTTTTTGTACATATAAGAGTCACAGATTTCACAGATATGATTCATTTGCGTGAGAAATTTTCGTCATTCATTAAGAAATCATCAGACAGAATGCAGTCTGGGAAAAGTGGTTTACCTCTCTGGAAAGCTCCTAATCTATGGGCAATGTCAATATTTCCTTTACAGATTCCAACTTTCAATTTGTCTTTCACAAAATTCACAATTTTTCCCACACAGTCTTCAGCGCTTTCATTTTTATCCACGTCTTCAAGATCCCTATTTTCTCTAATAATTTCCTCTCGAAGGCCTTTCATCTGTAGACCAATATCCTCCTTCAATGTGGAGAGAATGGTAAATATGTTGTCCAGCTTTTCATCTGTAGACATTTTTCCTGATCTGTTTATAATATCACTCAATCGTCCAGACTGGAATCCTTTGGATTTGTCTTTGTTAGAACTGGTACTGGAACTTCTGGTGGAGGCCATCTTATATTAATGTACATACAAGTAAAGTCCAATCCAAACAAAGAAAAACAGCTATACAGCACAGTCTATAGAAGTATAAGCAGGAGCGCACACTGGTGTATACACAGGTAAAATTACCTATGTCACTGAGCAGAGTACAGGTGATAGTGGCCACTAGAGTGTTCACCGAACCATGATGAGTTCTGGTCTAGCTTCAAAAGTTTGTCTTCTTCAAAAGTCACCAAAGACAGAAAATTGTGTTCCAAAAGTCCACCTTTGCAGTCTAAGGTGCCTTAAGCATCATCTGTGCAAATATCATTCTGTTTGAATCAGTATTTACGCTATGAAAACACTTTCAAGAGGGACCACAAAAACACCTCTGGTCAGTTCTCTGTCTTGACCTTCACCCCCACCAATATCCATCTTGTTAGGGTTAGGTACAAGTGTGGGAAAAGTTAATCAATTCATATAGTGTATATTGGATAAGTAATTCCATCACATTTATATCATGTAGATTAGACAATGACAAGCCGGTGAATAGCGTCTTTTCATAGATACAGTCTAGACAAACAGTAAATAAAACTGCATTATACAGATATTTTGTCCTTCAAGTACTCATCAGTGATGCTGCGGGCCTGATGTTGAAACTTGGAAAGCAACTGAGGAAAGTCCACACTAATCTAAGACATGTTGAAATTTATACAAAATAGCCCCAAAATATGATAAAGGTGAAGAATATAGATTGACCTTTCTTTTGTGTTAAATGTTTTCAGCAAAAGGGTGTGAGGTGTCTCGAACACAATGTACGTTATGTTCCAGTCAGCATTAGAATTATAAATACGAAAGTAAGCATGACATACTTCCAAGAAAAGTATCAAATCTCGCCTCACATAGTTTATCACTGAATCTAACACTAGCATAAAGGGGTAGATCTATTGATATTTAAAGAGGAATTAAGGTCTTTCAACACTGTTAACATATACTTGATATGGGTGACTTCTGTGATCGGGGTTCAATTCCTTGTTTCACAATTGTTTTGAAATAAATAAAAGTTCATGAATACTTGACATTACATTTCATTAGATTAGATTCGACACAAAATGTCAAAGCAAAAACACGTTTAAAATGCAGACTTTTAAAAAAAATAAAATTGATAAAGACTCTCGAAAGTAATTAATTACACCCACAGAAAGCCTCAAATCAAACATCAGCATTAGGAGTTCACTGATGCTAAACATGAAACATCAATTTTACTGTTAGTGTTATAGTGATCTCATTTTCAGATGTTTTCTCTTTTCTGCGATATAGAAATGGACGTAGGTTCCGTAGTTGTATACCCTGTTCTCATTCGAGAACGTCACATTATTTACTTCGATTGACCAAGATTTACAAAACGTATGTCGTCGTTGAAGTAAAAATGCTTACTCTTGCGGAGTGCCTGGTCTTATTCTCCTTGTACCTTTTCAAACCTCTTCAGTAAATATTTCGTTTGTTCATACTTTGCCATAGTTTTATCGAATTTGAGAGTTTACTATGATAAAAGAGGTTTTTGTCAAGCCTCTCAATGCTTTCATCTAAAACGTGGTGACAGCACACACTCCCCTCTCTTCGAGAGACGAGATAAGAAATTAAATTAATTGACAAAAGCAATAATTGAAAATGCTAGCTTTTAAAAAAGTTCATTATAACAGTTTTATTCACACGATTGTTTGTTTTTATGACCTTGACCTACAATGTCATTGGTCAAAATCTAGAAATAAAAATAATAATAAACGTTCTGTCTGTAGGCGGGTATATCGAATCTCTGTAGATGTGTTGATTACATAACTACTTTCAGTATTTTTACAGATATCACAGATATGCCAGTACAGCTATTCTAGTTAAAAATACACTTACTCACTCATTGCTTTATTTAACTGAGATCTATTTCGACTGCAGTTCACATAAGCTTTTCAATTAAAAACATAAATTCGACAGAATGTTCTTATTTCTTTTTCCAATTGATAACATAGTTAACCAAAGGAAGAAAAACACCCCTAACTGGAAGATTTCATTACTCTTTAATATTTGTCAAATCGAACTCGACCAATTAACAATCGGTCCACATTGTTTCTGTATTTAATTCCAAATACGGATGAATCTTTTCCCCTACACACTGGTCGTTCCAAAGTTTGAAAAGAAGATCAGGTGATACACGGTGTGCCGTTCTGAAGTTTAAACTTTTGAATAATTTACTATTGATAGGAGACACCATCCCACTATTAAATCCTTCTATCAAATGAAGACTTTTACCAATCCTTTCAACACATAATGAAACAAACACATCTTCCAGGAAGAAAAATGGTATATGTTTTGATACCTTGAAGACCTCTTTTACCATGTTCATACTTGTAACATAACCCGTTCCTGCACAGTAGCCAGGGTAATACTCTCTCCCATAATATTCGTAGGTAACACACCATTTCGAACTCTTATCTCTCACAGGGCGTTCTATTTGCATACACTTGCCTCCTATGGCCGTTTTAAGCTGTTCAGAATTATCATTGAGAGCCTTTCTGACACCAGGTATATTGACATACATGTCGTCATCTGTTTTCATGAAAAATTGAGCATGAGGGCAATGCGTAGACGCCCATTTAAATGCCATAATAGTTTTTAGAGTAAGATTTACATACGATTCTTGAAAATCCTCTTGGATGATATCATTGTAGATTTTACTCTCCTCTAACAATGCCGCATTTGCTTCAGTATCATTAATGTTACCAAATATGAAGGCATATCTGAATTCCGACGTATTGTTTTTGGAATGTGTCAGCCAAGTTTTCCGATACATGTCTCTTTTCGCTCGGTTTCTATGGATACTGGTTATAAGTACCAACACATGAATCACAGGAGAACCAGATTTTAATGCACAAACTTTATCACTGTTGATGAGAAGCGGGAAGTCATGACGGTTACAGTTGTAACATTTCTCGGGACGATGTCGCAAGGCCTCAACGATGCTGCACATTACCTTGGTATTTCCACGTGCTGATCGGTTCAGAATGTGAATAAAGAATAACATAAAGCTTAATATACAAATTAGAACAAACAGCTGTCGGGGTCTTGCCTTCCTTTGTATCTGTGAAAAGATCACCATCCCTCCACTCTTTACAATAGCCTTGATGTCGGCCATGTTGGATTGTCTTTCTTAACCTTGAGCTTTCAGTGTTTTTACCAATGTCTGAGACTGCTTCCAACACAGAGTAGATAGTTCTCTGGTTATGGCCTTGAGACGTTCTTTTTAAGTCGGAGTGGAATGGCACCCATTAACGTTTCAGATAATCATGACGTACCTGAAGAATACAAAGAAACAGCGTTCAAAAAGTTCCATAATTACATAATTGTATAATTAGTTGAGTGTTGGAGACACGGAGGTAATATATCGTGTGTAAATCAACCAGGTTGATCTTCAATCATCAGATATGATCTACATTCATTTCTGGACTGGTCAAATCGTTAAATATGAACTGATACAAAAACACACATCAGTAATATCATTTTTCATTCACAGTGGTATACTGACATTTAAAACTAGATATACACACAGAAATATATATATAGAGATAGTGTGTTAATCATTATTTCATTCTTTATAATATCATTTGTCAATCACAATGATATATTGACATGTAAAACTAGATATACACACAGAAATTTATAAAGAAATAAAAAAGTGTGTTTATCAGTATTTCATTCCCTACTATATTATTTTCTTTTTTCAAAAGATATTATGAATTTTCCCTTATTCCACGTGTTGTAATTCTTATATCATACCCAAGCTACCATTAACATCAATATATACATTTTCTCTTCAGTAAAACTATGCTAAATATTGTTTAAAAGCATACAGCTATTTTATCATTCTTGGACTCCTAAATGATAACAGTGACTTTATGTGTAAATATATAGATGAAGATCAAGTAGATACCATACCGACTACAACTAATGATAAAACAGATGTGAGCTATATCCTTTTGCTTTCCTAAACTATTACCATTAATCGATATAAAAATGACTACACGACCACAGCGTATTGACCATGCTGATTTAAATCAAGTACCAAGCTATCTAAATACATTACGAACAACACATACTGTACGGGATTGGCTGTATCCAGGATCACAAACATGTCCCTGGAACTTTGTTTTAACAGTGATTATAGTCTATATCATTAATGTTAGTTCGCTTTACATGTGTTTTACCTGTTTTTCTCACCTGTACATGTATAAGAAATCAGTCAAAAAAAGGAAATAAAATAAAATAATTAAAGACATGATATAATAAAAAAAGTATATGGTGACATAATGTACATGCAATTATTATGCCGTGTATGGTGACATAATGTACATGTAATTATTATGCCGTGTATGGTGACATAATGTACATGTAATTATTATGCCGTGTATGGTGACATAATGTACATGTAATTATTATGCCGTGTATGGTGACATAATGTACATGTAATTATTATGCCGTGTATGGTGACATAATGTACATGTAATTATTATGCCGTGTATGGTGACATAATGTACATGTAATTATTGTGCCGTGTATGGTGACATAATGTACATGTAATTATTGTGCCGTGTATGGTGACATAATGTACATGTAATTATTATGCCGTGTATGGTGACATAATGTACATGTAATTATTATGCCGTGTATGGTGACATAATGTACATGTAATTATTATGCCGTGTATGGTGACATAATGTACATGTAATTATTATGCCGTGTATGGTGACATAATGTACATGTAATTATTGTGCCGTGTATGGTGACATAATGTACATGTAATTATTATGCCGTGTATGGTGACATAATGTACATGTAATTATTATGCCGTGTATGGTGACATAATGTACATGTAATTATTATGCCGTGTATGGTGACATAATGTACATGTAATTATTATGCCATGTTTAATGATGTTATATTATTTTTGTTGTATATTCCAAAATAATATAAACTATTGTGATATCATTTCCAATATATGTTATTTAATTACAATATTCTTGGGTTCAGATGATATTTTTCCAGTGAAATTAGGGACCGCTTCTTACAGATTGATGATGGTTGCCAATGTAGGATCCTCGTCTTTGCTACATCAGAGAACTTCGCTGGCACCGCTGCAGCCGAAAAGATATACTGCGATGGAACCTTCTATACCTGCCCCAGCCTCTTCCTTCAGATATACATCACCCACATCGAGTTAGACGGATCCGTGTACCCAGTTGTATACGCCCTTCTACCCGGGAAAAGCCAACACATCTACACCAGAGTCTTCACACTTCTACAGACGTTTATGACAGACAACAACACACATATGATGTCATCAACTGTATTCGTCAACTTTGAAACAGCTGTCCACAACGCCGTACGCACCGTCTTCCCTGGAACCAGCATCAAAGGATTTTTTTTTCATTTACACAAGGAATATGGCGAAAGGCACAGGTGACTGTTCAGGAAACACCCCACGGTATTAATTTCACAATTGTTTGTATAACTATGTCAACATTTCGATCAAACTTCGTGTAAAATCACCGTGTTCTTACACAGCCGTTAATGTGCTTGCACAAGTCACTGCTACAGCGTCATTGGTTAAACAAACATTCAATGGTACAATATTTGCGTGTCCAAAGCAAACTTAACTACAAAGAAAGAGATGTTTTATGGTTATCTGAACTTATGTGCAAACCGATCCGTGTATAAAAAAAACTGGTACGGTATTTTTCACTGGTATGTAATGTTAATTGAGATGATATAATTAAATACAGACGACTGAACCTTCTGTTCTCATACCACAAAAACAGACAACAATAAAAACACACAACAACAAAAATTCAAGCTACCGGAATTACCGGTGCATATCGTCCATTGGTATATCTCTTTTATATCTAATGCAGCGATGTCTAGTGTTCCGTGGTATACATACTACATCTACAATATTGCGTTAGTATGTGTTGGCATTGTAATACTGTGTGTCTGTTGACGCTGTGACGTGTCATATTGGTATGTGTTGGCATTGTAGTATTGTGTGTCTCTTTGTTAACGCTTTGACGTGTCATATTAGTATGTGTTGGCATTGTAATACTGTGTGTCTGTGTCTGTTTGTTAACGCTGTGACGTGTCATATTGGTATGTGTTGGCATTGTAATACTGTGTGTCTGTTGACACTGTGACGTGTCATATTGGTATGTGTTGGCATTGTAGTATTGTGTGTCTGTTTGTTAAGACCGTGATATGTCATATTAGTATGTGTTGGCATTGCAGTATTGTGTGTTTGTTGACGCTGTGACGTGTCATATTAGTATGTGTTGACATTGCAGTATTTTGTGTTTGTTGACACCGTGACGTGTCATATTGGTATGTGTTGGCATTGTAATACTGTGTGTCTGTTGACGCTGTGACGTGTCATATTGGTATGTGATGGTATTGTAATACTGTGTGTCTGTTTGTTAAGACCGTGATATGTCATATTTGTATGTGTTGGCATTGTAATACTGTGTCTCTGTGTCTGTTTGTTAACGCTGTGACGTGTCATATTGGTATGTGTTGGCATTGTAGAATTGTGTGTCTCTTTGTTGACGGTGTGACGTGTCATATTGGGATATGTTGGCATTGCAGTATTTTGTATTTGTTGACACCGTGACGTGTCATATTCTTATGTGTTGGCATTGTAATACTGTGTGTCTGTGTCTGTTTGTTGACGCTGTGACGTGTCATATCGGTATGTGTTGGCATTGTAATACTGTGTGTTTGTTGACGCTGTGACGTGTCATATTGGTATGTGTTGGCATTGTAGTATTGTGTGTTTGTAAATTTGCGCTTATGTGCTGACTCTATTGTAAATTTAACAGATATATACGCCAACACACTCAAAGTTATATTGAAGCCTCCAAATACGCAAGATCATACAAGTGAACCTTGTGTGATTTTTTGTTCAAACGAGGGTACACATATACATGTTGGTAGCGTATTTTTACGTTAGAAATTTATACCTGACTGCCATGTCATGTTCTTACCACCAATACTTACATGATTAAAGAGACGTTACTATCAAGTTATATAATTTTTAAACACAGTTGGGTCATGGTAAAAACGCCAAAGTAATTGGTTTCTAAGCATTCTATGATAATTTACTTAGAGATTGTGGATGTACGTGGGTCATTTTGATAAAGAAAACAATCCACGTGTATTCAACTAATTAATGTTAAAACAAGAAGCTAATTACACTTTCCAACACAAAATAAGAATAAGATACAGCAGAGCCACATAATGAATTACACTGAATCATATATTAGATGCGTCCTACTAGGACTCGTCAGTGATGCTAAGTGCCTAGATTTGTATTCTAAGGATACAGTTGATCGAAATGAATTTCAAAATCTAGATAGTGCACCAGCCATATTGTTAAGTAAATATATTACTGAAAGCTGGTGTAGAGTTTGCCTGTGATACCGAAATGATCATTGAAAATAATCTTTAAAAAGCATCGCTTTCTGAACTCTGACCTGCTCTAATTCAGTCTCAGTAGGACGTCGGTCTTTGTACATGTGACCTCAGTTAAAAGCTGAGGTGTGTGGTTGGATGTTCTGTGCTGTGGTGATTGTTCTTTGGCAAGGTGTTTTTACTCGGACTGGATTAAGTTAGGCCTTCTATATGTCAATAAGCGTAACGATCTGTATCCATCAGCTTCCAAAAATAAACTATAGCTGAAATGATTAGTTGCTGTTCATACGGCCAAAAAAAATCAAACTTTTCAAAAATTTTTGAAAAGATTTTTCAAACCATTTCAGTAAAAATTTATTTTTCTTTATTTGATGGTTTTTTGCTTCCGAAATTAAGTCGATATTTGAAACAAGCATTAATTGATTATCATATCGACTTACCGTAGCATTTCAATACATACACATGGGTGTACACATAACATTTACTGGTTATCAAAATGATTGCCTGACAACGCTCACGTGTCTACTTCATCTGTTCAGGTTGTTGCAAGTCTATGATACTTGTATGAAGTTGTATCAAAATCAGTTTAAGTCAACAATGAAGTTGTGGAGTGCCTGTCACGATTTCTATTCAAAACGAAGTCACACTATGCAAATTCGAAAATTAAAAACACAAACACTT